GACTGCCTCATACCAGACCTCAGACCTGCAACAGGACCAGGTCTCCAAACAGACTGACTACCAGACCTCAGACATGTGATAGGACCAGGTCTCCATCAAACAGACTCCTTCTAGGGGCCGAGATTGGGTAGAGGCAGGGCAGTCGACCTGGGACCCATGGTGTCTCTGAGCAAGACACCCAATCCCTAATTGCTGCCCACTGCTCCACCTGTGTGTATTCCAGGTGTGATGAGTTAAATGCAGAGAACTAATTTTGCCACATAGCACTTTACTTCTTCATATCAGACCTCAGACCTGTGATGGGAGCAGGTCTACATCGAACAGACTCTTTATACAAGACCACAGACCTGGGGTAAGACTAGGTCTCCATCAAAGAGACCACAGACTCCTACCCTTCCTCCAATCTGAGATGAGACCAGGTCTCCAAAAACACATTGCCTCATACCAGACTTCAGACCTGTGATACAACCAGGTCTCAGAGAAAAACACTGCTGTCTTGTACTACGTATAACTGCCTTGTACTACGTATAACTGCCTTGTACTACATATCACTCAGAGCACTGATGGGAGCAGGTCTCCAACAGCCACACTGTGTATTTCAGTAGTTTATGTTTCATAAACCAGATTTAATCCATGAACAGAAACAGCAAAGTTTGTTTTTACTCAATAAAAGTCTGTTTTTTCCCTCTTTCTTGAGTTTTTCCTCTTCATTTCTGCAGCATACACTTCCAGAGTCCTTTCTGTTTGTGCTTTACCATTAAATACCCTTTCCCTCTACACCCCCCTCCTTGCCTGTATTCCCCCTCCGCCATTCCACGAGTCACCAGCCTCATAGGAATCCTCACAAAACATGGAACTCCTGCGTTCTTCGCAGAGTTAGTTCTCTGTGGACTGAGAGGGAAATAAAAGTGAAGCTCACCTCAAGTAAGGTCCAACCGCAGGTGAAAAACACTAAAGGAAGATCATCTCGATCCAAACAGAACACCATGAGCAACAAGTAGGAACTCCAAAATATTCTCCTCCCTCCCCTCAGTCTCAGAGTCCTGAACTCCCTCCCCTCAGTCCTCAGTCTGTAGTCCTGATCCTTGGTGTGGTTTTGCCTCTCTTTCAGGCTGCAGGAGCTGCAACGAACAGGATAGGAGTGTGTTGGTGTGTGTGTTTGTGTGGACTCCTGCAGTGGGATTGAGTCACAGCAGAGTTCAGATTCCTCCCTACCCTCCAACATTCACGCATACAGAGACAATCACAGAAGGGGTAAAAACACTCAAGCAGAGGTCAGAAGAAAGTTCTTTTTGTCTATGCTTGCCTCTCACACTTCTTCCAATGTCTGGACATTCTCCCCCCCCCCCCCCCCCCCCCCCCCCCCCCCAGCCCCCACCAACCAACCCACCACACAGAAGAAAGCCAGTGAGGGATGTGTGCACGCTCATGCTCAGAGAATGCTGTTGTGCATCAGCAGCTGGGAGGAGGAGAAAGAGGCGGAGTTTAGACCTCCGAGCTGAATTCCTGCATCTCCCGTTCAGCTAATCAGGAGCCTCACTGCAGTGGACCAAAAGCCACGAGGCCAGGCAGGGCCCCACAGCCCAGCTCCAGCTTTAAACCATTAACTGGGTTTGTTGGACATGTTGGCAGCAATATGCAGTGGTGATGTGAATTATTGTTGCATTTTGTTATCTCTGATTTTTCTATATTGGTTGCATATACCTGTATTTTTGCAAAATTAATCTGTCAATGCAAAGTGTTTGCTAAATGCTTTTTAAATAGTTGCAAGTTTTATTTATAATTATTTATAAGCGTTCAAGCAAAAACGAATAAACAGAAAATTAAAAGGTTACTCCCCCAGTTTCTTGGAAACTACTAAAATGTGATTTTCAGAAAAATAAAATCAAAAATCAGCAGCAAACATGAAGAGAACGACTTCAGTCACAGAATACAAAGGTGAAATGTAAATCAGGAAAATAATGTGTTGTGATGTTTTATATCCCCATTGCCACCCTGTCACTCTTATGTTTCAGACATATGTCCACAAATGTGTCAACAACCCCCTCCATGCTGCTTTTCTCTTGTGACTTTAATAAACGATGATACAACTTTATGTTGTGCATGAGTCTGCACAACTAAAAGGAAAATATAGGTAAATGAATCACAACCAAATTTCTCTCAAATGATAAAGGTGCAACTTTTGTCTGGGGTGTATTTCCTGTCTGTTTATACAGCTAAAAGATAATGCTAAACTCTTAAATTTTCATTGAGTCTAAATCAGTGTCATAACAGTGTTTATGAGCCACAAACGTACAAACTGGGAACCTCTGATCAAACAGAGCTTCGTGCCACTTCAACACAAAGTGAAACTTTTTGAAGAAAATTAAGGTGTCCATGTGTTTTCTGAACCACACAGAGACATTATCTATTTTTTGTTTGTTTTTGGTGAAAAACTGAACTTTGTTCACATGGGAACACTATTTTTCAAAAATATATTCTTATTGGTAATTTCTAAAAATATTCTCATAAAAATAAAACATCATAGATATCCCTTTCACATTTTAGGAGCAGAAGGCAGAGGGCACCATCCTGACAGTACCTCCCCCCAAGGATGTCCCCTGACGTCTCCAAAATCCACACCCCAAAACTTGGGTAGGAGGAAGGAGAACTGCTAGGATGGAGGGCACAAGGGGAACACACTAGGAAAAAAAAAGGTCAGAGGTCAGACCCACACGAAATTACATCGCCAAAGAATGTCCGGGAGTCTGTCCGAGAGTCTGTCCATCCTGTGACAGCAGTTCTGGTGGGCAGCCGGGAGGCCGTCCAGCACGTGGCAGCAGGTCCTGTGGGTGGCTGATTATGATGGTTACCCTGAGAGACCATGGGTACGTTTACATGGACATAAGTAACCGGATCAAATGGCCGGTCGGAATAAAAGTGTGTCATGTAAACACTCCGTTCGGGTTATTTTTTGTGTATTCGGCATAATCCGATATAATTTGTGATCAGAACGAAACGGGTGGTTTACGCCGATCCGTAACCCGATCAGTGCGCATGTAAACGCTTGATCGGTTCTTTTTCATCTGATCGTGAAAAACTGACCTGACTGCGCATGTGCGACTTTGCCATTTCTGCCTGGCTAATGCTAATAATATTAGCATGTCAGAGAAGCAAAACTGGTCGGTGAGCGACACAACATTTCTACTAGAAACTCTGAAAGAGCTCAAAATGATCTGTATTACCTGTAGCTCAGTCAGGGAGTGCAGTAACGTCTCCACCATCATTAAAACCTGTCGCGGGTCCATTTTGGGTGCTCAGGTTTGTTTACGTTCACCCGGAAGTAGAACTTCTTCTTCTGTGTTTTTTTTAAGGAGAGTTTACCACTCTGCGCATGTCAGTACTGCTGTTCAGAACAAAGCCCGCTGCATGTAAACACTCGTCATGAACAGATTGTGCCCATGTAAACAATACATTTGAATTACTCAAACAGAACACATTTCAATCCGGTCAAAGAATTCTGCGCATGTAAACATAGCTCATGACCACTCAGCACGGAGAAAGAGGAGGGGGGAAACCATGCATTCTGCAGCTGGCATGGAGACCTGGGAGACTGCAGATAATGATAAGACCAGTGGTGAAGCAGAGACCTCAGGGGCTGCAACTGTTGTCGAACACTCAGGGTGCAGCATGAAACCCTCAGGGAGAGATGTAGAACCACCAGGGAGAGGTGTGGAACTCTCAGGGAGAGGTGTGGAACCCTTGAGCGGCATGGAACCCACAGGAAGTGACGTGAAATCCTCAGGAAGCCATGGAGGTTGGCTGTTACCAAGTCTCCACCTCTTCATCAGCAGAGATAGGTCCTCATCAGGTTCAAACTCAAAGAGTCTCTGCTGCTTTGTTGATTGGGGTGGGCCCTCAGAAGGTTCAGCCTCACTGGACTGAACAGGCACCACCAGAGGCAGAGAAGGAGGCGCTGGCATAAGATATGGGAGGCGAGAGGCGTCCTCCTGGACCCTCTCACAGGAATGGTGAGAGGTGTCCACCTGGACCCCCTTGCAGGAAATGTGAGAGTTGTCCACCTGGATACCCTCGCAGGAAAGGTGGGAAGCATCCACCTGGACCCCCTCAAAGACACAAGGAGGCAGTGAGTCATCATGGCTGCAGGAAGGTAGTGAAGCGTCTAGTCCAACCCCCACTGAGATATTCAGAGGTGGAGCGTCGGGACCAGCCCCCACTGAAACACTAGGAGGTGAGGCATCTGGTACAACCCCCTCTGAGACACTTGGATGTGGGGCGTCAGGACCAGCCCCCATTGAAATACAGGGAGGTGGGGTATTGTGGCTCTTACCCACTGAGAAGTTGAGGGGGAGTGTCCTGTGAAGCTCAGCCTTGCCAGGCTGAATGGGGCATGTAGAAGGTGCAGGAGGAGCTGGCAGAAGTTTGGTGAACCAGTTTTGGGTCTGTCTTTGGCCCCTCCTGCAGCAGCGGTGTGAGCTGGGAATAGGAGCACTCTAGAGTTTATTCTCCAGCTCTGCATCCTCAGAAGATCACTAGAAAAGCAGGTGCGGCGAGCAAAGCGGCGAGGAGGAGGAGGAAGAAAGCAGGCTTAAAAGCCAGACGGCTGGGACCTCCCCGGACGGGTTTGGTCCAGAACCCAACCCACCGGGTGACAGACTCCTCTGGATGACAGAATCCTCCGGATGACAGACTACTCCGTCTGCGCTTGCCCTCACCGGACTGTCTGAGCTGCTACTTGGGCCATGTAAGTTTTTCATTTGTTATCACTTTAAACTGCTTCATGACTCCTGTACTTCTGTGCATACAAAGCAAAAAGTTTCTGATACTATGAGTCCACATCTGAGCTGATAGTAATTCCCTGTATTTACATAAGCTGTTTTTACTTAGAACTGTTTGTTAAAAACCAAACATGTCAAAACGTATCAACTAGTATTCCAGCAGTGTCAGTGTTTTTCTCCTCACCCTTAAACTGATACAGATGATTTCAACTGATACAGATGGTGTCAGAAACTCATTACAATAAGCATTTAATCAACTGAACCTGTACACAATGTTTTGTTCTGATCAAAGAATGTTTCCAAGCCAAACACTTATGTGTCACTCTTACCAAATAAAATCCAGTTCTAAACAGCAAGACTTTGGAGTTCACCTCTGGTTTCAGACCAGAGGTGGATTTCCCCTTGCAAGGAGCGTTGGCCAAAAAAACTTACTTTGTCCTGTGTGGTTCTTTTTCAGTTGGGTACGAGAGAAAATACCTAACAGGCCAGATACTCAGCCCAAGGCATCCACCTGCTGGGTTCTTTATTTGGTCTGGGCATCTGTCAGGTTTAGAAGCAGCTCAAACTCAATGGTGCAGGCAGGACTCGAAGACCAGGTGGTAAAAGGAGAAACACTTTAATGATACAAAATAAACACACTGTTGTGGCAGCAAAACTCACTCAGGTCCAGAGGCACGTACAGGGAAACACCAGGAAACACAGGAGGCTTTACCAGACGATGCCCAGACAACAAATAACACACAGACTCAGACTTAAATACAGAGACTAAATGAGACACAACCACACAAAGACCTGTACAGGACACGCAGGTGACACAGATAAGGATAATTATTAGGATGGGGCACCAGGGAGTGCAGGGGCATAACAGCCACTAGCAGGCACCATCCTGACAACCCCTATTTCAAATAATGCTTTCATCCACATGGAAACACAGGAAACAATTCAAAACACTGGATTAAATAATCAAGCCCAGCATGTGGAACAGTAACGCTTCCACAAAAATACACCAAAAACATCATGGAGCATGTGCTCCATGATGTTACATGCCGCTTACAAGCCGGGTAAGAATTTAAACAAAAGAAGCAAAATGAGGAAAACAAAATAAAAGAGCAAAAAGCAAATCTTTTTTGTGTGCTGACAATAAAGTGAAACTTCTGCTTTGCCTTACATTAAGACACAACAAACATATCATTATTTTCAAAGAACTTATATAGAAACTATCATGAACATGTTCAAGGTT